GGAAGCAGCAGGCTGGGAGAAGCAGGATGGGGTTGGAGCATGCCTGGGTAGCAGAAATGACGTCTACAAAGCAGGTTCTTCTCTGCCCGGACAGAAACATCCCTGGGGTTTTGTTGTTAACAAAGAAATGGGAGTGATGGGCTGGGAAGGGGAAGGCAGTCCCTTGGGAAAAGCTTGCAGAGGTGAGAGGAAGGGGGGATCCACGTCTCTGCTGATGCAGGAGCCCTCCCTGCACGGCAATGCACCGGAATGAAACACGGACATCTCACCAGATCGTTCTCCAGGGACACCTCGACCATGGGGACAGCTTGGGAATTGGTAGCTGCAATGGAGAGAGCAGGGTTGCAATCCCAGCCAGAGCCTCTGGAGCTCCCACCCAGCCCCAGCAGCTGAGCCAGGAAAAACCTGCCCAGTGCCTGCAGCGAGGAAGCAGCAGCTCTGGTCTCCTTCCTGTTTCCCAGCCCTTCGGTTCGGGATGTCCCAAGGGGTTTGGGAGCCTCTGGGGACCTAGAAATCTGTATGGCCAGCACCTGTCAGATTGGGGAGAGACCAGAAAGGGGCTCTGGCCATAAAAGTGAGGGAACAAATCTTGGAGCCAGTGGAAATAAGCACCCTACAAGAGTGAATTTGGGCTCATTTTGCTGCAAGGAGGTGGCTCTTGAAACCTGGGGGACCCAGAGCTGGGTGATGGCTTTCTGAGCTGGCCCAAGTCCCCGCTGCCTGTGGGGTGGCTGGATCCATCCTGGTGGCATGTCCTCACCTGGGTGTCCCGTGACGCGCTCCACCAGCGCCTGCAGCCTGGTTCGGCACTCGGCCAAGTCCCCGAGCTGCGCTTGGTCCCTGGCTGCCGGCGGCTGCAGCTGCTGCAGTTCCTTCAGCGAGTTCTTGATGAAGGGCTGCATGTCCATCACCTCCTGCTCCGTGGCATAGAGGTTCATCTTCTCCACCAGCCGCTCGCCCGCCTCCATCCGACGCAGCACCCCCTCCACGCGCTGCAGCTCCCTTGCCAGCTCCCGCCGACCCTGCTCCTGCCGCACCTCCACCAGTCCCAGCAGCTCCTCTTCCTCCTGCCGGAGCAGCCGCACCAGCTGCTCCACGCGCTGCCGGATCAGCTCCCGCATCTCCCGCTGTGCCTGATCCAGCCGGGAGGCCTCCTCCTTCAGCGCCGTGTAGGTGGCCTCGAAGCTGCTTCTCTTCTGCTTCAGTTCCCGGCTCATGGTGCCCAGCTCCTCCTGCCTGCGCTGGGTCTCGC